TGCATTTTAATTAAGCAATATAAGACACCTGTTAAGATTATTATCTTGAAAGAACTGCCAAATGTGATGTAAATGTCAAGCAATTTTGATTTTCTGATAAACATCATATTTTATAACATAAAAACTCTAAATGAATATTTGAAAGGTGAGTAAAATTATTAGATTTTTTATAAACTTATTTATTTTTCAGGTTAATTTGAATGTATTTCAAATCTATAAGCAGTTCGTTCACATTTTGAAAATTGTTTCAGCTGTTTCAAATTGATAAATTGAATTTGAATTTAAAAAAATACTTGACTTGAAAGGATTTAGATATTCATCGGCAATGTTTTGTGAGGTTTTGTTCCAAATCTTAAGAGATCAATTGCCCAAAGATTTATCAAAGTAAAATCAAAGAAGTGGCCTACTATGACTATGAAGCTGATTCCAGTGGGAAATTAGTCGCCAACTCTGTAGGGGCAGTGATAGCCATGCCAGTCCAGGGACAGACTGCAGTTCTACTGTAATGTACCTTGGTCAAGGCCAATGACTGGTGTACCTGACATGTAACAACCATAAGATGCATATTGCTTTATGTTAATAGATTAGATTAATTAGGCTTCTAAAAAAAAAAAAAAAAATTCCACCGTCCCCATTCTTATTTTTTTACAACTCGACCATTGCTCACATCAGAAGCCTTTCTGTGAGTTTTCAAATCAAAAATAGATTTGATTAAATCTTGCAGATTCCATCAGTTCGTTTTCATTGGCTGAATAGACGGAGAATGAAAACATTGTTACTTTCGCTTTAAATACACTTTATGATCAATTAGGGGATAAAGGAGGCTAACAACAAGGACTGCTTCAGTTGTTCAGTTTTAATTGTTTTCAATATGAAACAAGTCTTTACAAATAAAACTGTGTTTTTGTGGTTTTAGATTGTGTAAAACAATGGCCTGTTTGATCAAAGTAACATTTCACTTCTTTTGATTCCTTCTATTATGTTGTAACTGAATATTTTGCAAATCTGTCTTATTGTTGCAAATGCAGCAGCGCCACGAAGAATGACGCATTTTCGAGTACAACACTCAAAGCTTTATTTCTGTAAAGGATATTGTTTTCAAATGATCAAAAGCACACTGAAAAAGCTTGTACCGTGCAGATTTTAAAAAGCGATGGTCCTAAAGTGATTCAGGAGGCCTAAATATAATGATACAGACAATGACTCAAAACCTTTAGCCTAAGAGCATATGTAAAGTATATATATATATATATATATATATATATATATATATATATATATATATATATATATATATATATATAAGTGGTAATTGTGGTAAGTATGAAGCAATCATGTGGTCAAAAAACAAAAAAATATTTCATAAACAACTGGATCTCATATGTACTTTGAGGCTAGCTATCTAGCTATAAAACAAGCTTACATGCTTGAAAGTTGCAATGAGTTGCTGATAAACATAGTTTTTTTAATGGCCAAACATTAGTATTTCAGTCTCTTCTCACCAAAATGTGTTGCTAAAACAGTCTTGCAGTTTATTTAAATACAATTCTCCGGATAATTGTAAAACTGACTTTAGGTTTTAAGGCCAAAAGTTGTAGTTGAACCCTGCATTCCACTCAAAGCTCAAAACAGTATTGTCAAAGTGTGCACAGCTCCAAAAAGAAAGGAATTGATGATGGCATGTAGTAGCTGCCTACATTAAAAATTGAAGAATGTCAGAATGACTGTTTTCCAGATTTTTTTTTCTGAAATGATTCAGTAAAGAAATTCATAAATAGATTTCCACTATAAGAAGAACAATGTTTTCTGTTTGTTGACTCCCAAAGAGTTAATTTTATCCAAAAAGGAAAAGCAGATTTTCTGTTTCTCTGTTAAAATCATCATTTTCACTTTCCTTCCTCTGCATGTGATCAGACTTAAAGCTTTCTATGACTGACATATGGTATGCAGCGCTGTTTAAACGGTAGTGCCATTGTATGCACATTCAGAGCAGTCAGAAAAATCTAGACAGCATGTAGATGTTGGCAGAGGGACCAGGAATATCCTCTAGAAATAGGAAACTTGCATCCAGTCCAAAAGTGACTTTTTTTTCTGTCTTTCTAATGTTTAACATGTTGGCTTGAGGCTGCAGTGGAGTCCTAGGTTTTGTTTGTTATTTATCTGAGCATAAAGTATGGATTGGACCTTTGGGTGAAATATCAGCAACATCCATACCTGAGAAGAATGTATTTTACTCCTGTGAAAAATGCAGCATTGTGGATTTCAAAGTGGTAGGAAAAATGCTTCAGGGCTTTGTAGGCTGACTGGCAGCCATAGTTATTTCTGTGATGAAGTTTCCAGTGGTTTGATTTCCTTCTTGGTTTTAGGTTGACGTACACCTGGACGGTCCAGAGGAGAAAACCACCAGCCTCTATGCTTTACAGCAAAACTCACACTTTTGAATATCAGCCAATGAACGAGGCTACCTTGCCTCTTAACTAAAGCCGTAGAGTTTCTTTTTCTTAACCTGTTTTTTAAAACATAAGGACAGCATTGAATTTATTGTAGGTTTTTTAAAGATTTAAGGTTTTATTGAAATCGCTTTAAAAACTAAAGACCAGATTAAGTATATAAAATAGCCTGATTCTTAACACCCTGAAATATATAGCCCTATATAAGCACAGGCCATTTACCCTACAGAGAACGCATTTTATAGCGAGTATAATGTTTTACTGACCAGAAGATTTTGTCCTTGGTCACCCTCTCTTGAAGCAAGGTCCATTTGTGGCCCAGATCGGTGGAAGCAAAGAGCTGGACAGACACAAAAAAGAGGAGAGGAGATCACATTTAGACAGAAAAAATAAACACTTAATGCCTTTACCTTTAATCACCACCATAACCTGCACTTATTACCAACTCTATGGCTCATAATTGAGGTTAAATTGGGAGTCTGGGTTAGAATGAAAAGAAAAAGAAAACAAAAAAATCGACAAATCAAGGGTCAGAATTTCATGGTCCACCAAGTCGAGATTAAACTCAATTAATTATTAATCATAAAAGATGAGGTCTGTGTGTGTGTGTGTGTGTGTGTGTGTGTGTGTGTGCATGAGCTTCAGTCTTTTTGAACTATTCTCTGGACAACACATTGGTAAAAATATGCAGGTTGGTTGAATCATTGATTGCTGCTTTGATGAAATTCTATTGATTTCATACTATCCTCCATACCTGTAAATAACAGAAAGAATGAAAGACTTGATCACACATCTTGTTATATTTATCATACGCTAACAAAATACAAACACCATTTTTCCACCTTTTCCTTATTACCACCTGAAAGTGGGCTTTACCCCCTTCTAAAAGGAGTTGTAACTATAGACATACTTCTAACAAGAATATTTGGATTGGATGTTCCATATCCATCTGCTGACTGCCTGGAACCCTTTTTTTCTGGATATTTCAACTTAATTATAGCCATAAATGTGAGAGCTAAATCTGAAAACGAAGCTAACAGAAGATTTCACCAGTAAGAAGAAAAAAGGCTACCGTTGTAGTAGATAAATACTCTAAGTGTGGTATATGGGCAATGGCAAAATGTTAAACTGCCCATATGGGGTATTCAGTGGGGAACACTGACATGCTAAACGGTCTGTGTATCACTTGGAGGCACCAAAGGATTAGCCCGCCTTAATGACCTGCCCTGATTGTCTTAGCTTCACCAGTTACCTGGAGAGAGGTCAGCGGTGAACACTGTTCCATCCTTGCAGAGCTGTATGGTATTACAAGATTTAATTCCAGTATACTGATACAAATAAGAAGTCCGTTACATCCATCCATCCATCACATAAATCCATTGCAGGGCAACATAGAGACAAATAGAAACATACAACCATGCACACACAGACACGCCTAGAAACATTTTAAAGATGCCAATTAACCTAAAGCCCCTGTCACACCTTGACGATTAAGACACCTTTTTAGGATTCCAGTCTGTGTGGTTTGTTTTTGTGTTTGTCTTCCCTCCTTCACCAGGCGGCGCCTGGTTCTGGTTGGCCTCATAACACAACTGCGGAAGGTTACCTCATTAACAGAGTGCTCTTAAGCTGCTGACTGCCACTACCTCGACGCCAGACTGTTTGCCAGGTTTGGGTACTCTAGCCAAGCTGAGTTTTGCTGAGCCAAACTGAGTTTTTGTCAACCTGAGTTTTAACCTCGGTGTTTTTTCTTTGCCTCTTGGCAGGAAGTCATCCTGCAAACTGGATGGTTCGGACCTTCTCTCCCCTGGAAGGATCTTCTGAGAATCAAACTGAGCTGCGGATTCAAGTTTGTGGTTCTGATCAACCCTTTTACCCAAGGATCGTTTGGGACTTCTCTCTGAGCAGGGGATTCATCTCCACAACAACCCGTGTAAGTACCGCAGGAAATCTGAGTGGCAGTCAGCTTCTCTGTTCACCAACGTACAATCACATTCTGGGTAAACCCTGTCCGCCCTTCATCGATCAAGACAAACACTGGAACATCCCAAACAGACTGGATTCAATAGGATACACCATTTTCTGGAAACGTGAGTCAGTTACCTATTTCTCCTCTTCAAGTTCAAGAATCAAATTTCACACTGAGCCTGAACTAACCGCAGTGTCTTCCCCTCACTTTCCAGTTCTGGTTGAGCAGTGTTCAGAGCTACACTGGACTCATCTCATCCTTCTCAATAAACCTATTAAACATTTCCCTGGTCTCACTGTGTTGGTTCTCTGCATGTGGGTCAGAGCACTTGACAAAATCATGACACAGCTTAAGCCAGATGTACGAAGAATGTGGCACAAAAGGTTGGCATACGTTGGATAAGTTATTGGTAAGTTATGAGCACGATGAAGTGTGCTAAAGCACGCCGACATATGGCGAGTATGTCGAGAAATTTTTAGCATGCTCAAAATTTCCCGCCGTATGCCAGAATATGCTCCTATGTGGGCCATAAGTAACAGGTAAGTTATCTGATCGTTGACACACACTAAGTGTAAGTTATTTATAAGTCGTGGCATCTAACTTATGCAAAACCTATGAGTAACTTGTGCATAACTTATGCGTAACTTATTAAGAACTTATCTGCAACACATATCAACGTATTTGACGTGTTCCAGACGAGCGCAGAATGTGTTTCTAACTTCCAGCTACTGTATAATGGCGTTTTGGTATAAAAGGGGTTCACAGGAGGAAACTGTAAGTTCTCCTCCAGACTTCATCCCCATCATAAGGTGAGCCAGAGGGTGAGTGTGATGGATCCTCCCTGTGTTCAAGCCCACCACCAACAAACCTCCCAGCAGACATGACGCTGAATCTGCTTTTTATGCAGACCAGGCGCCTCCAGGTCCAACACTGCTCTCCTCAGGATACTGACTTGTGACATTTCATGGGCATTACGGTGTTGTGCGTTATCCATAAGTTAGGCTGTCGTTGGACATAAGTTCTGTACTCATTATGATTACTCTATGTACACACCCAAAATTGAAAGAAAAAAAAAAAAAAAAAAAAACCATAGAAAGTTCAGCGTATGCCAGCATTTTAGGAGATTCAAGGGGTCAGTCATATGCTGGCTAAATTGGCAAGGTGTGACAAGGCCCTAACAATCGTGTTTTTGGACTGTGAGAGGAAGACGGAGTACCCACAGTCCCCACACATGCTCAGGGAGAACATGCAAACTTCATGCAGAAAGATCCAGGGCCAGAAATTAAACTCAGAACCTTCTTTCTGCAAGGCAACAGTGCTACAAACAAAGTAGACCATTGAAATGAATTAAGATTTTTTACACCGATGGACATTTTGGTATATAATTATTCATCAGCTCAATTGTAAAGAAGACACGGAATTTTGCTCAATTCCGTCATTTGAAGTTTAGGTTATGGTTTCTAACAATACTTCTACTTTCACTAAAATAATCAAGGTTGTAATAAAGGTTAGAAAGGTTTATACATTATGTCCAGATCAAATTAGCTTCAGAACCGGCAAGGAATTCCACTTTGGTTTCACTTTGCTGCCAATGAAGACATGATGATGACTTCCCTTTTTTTAATTATCTCAAAGAAATTGAAAGTGACAAACTTTATATGTCAGCCTCTGATATGATAACACAAGGTTTAGCTTTAGATCAGAAAGAGATACAGAACCTTTAATAAAGACGGGTCTCATCTAGGAGAGCCGCCCCTGCGTAGCAGTCATTGAACGATTGCTATGCCTCCCAGCTACAAATAGCATAAAACTAAAACTGCATTTGAAGACTTTTAGAGCTAAGAAGCCACATTATTATGTGCCGTGGAAGTGCGCCTGCACATTCATTAATCAGCACCTGAGGATCCCTCCGTGCCCTATATCTGTCACCATTAAGTAGCCTGCTTTAACGCTTGCATTTTAACTGACAATTTCACTCTAATGAGATGCTGAAGAGTGAGGAAGAGAGATCGGGTTAAAACACCACGTGTTCTTCTGGATTCTGAGACCCTTTATTCTTTTATTCTCTTAACCAATTAATAGTTAGAAAAAATGCTTCTAAGAATATTGGGGCATTGTGGTTAATCAAATGTGTACTGTTCACTTTCAGTTCATGTACCAAGCGAGCAGTTTACATAATCAGGCCAAATGTTATAAAATTAGCAGCATGCCAGACTGCCCGCTGCTCATATTTCTTGTCTCTTCACACTGTTCTAGCAGGATTCCCACTTTGCTGTGAACAAAACAGCCATGTCACAAATGCTCAGCTGAAAGATTCAAAGGAGATATATCACTGCAAAAAGGGTCTTGAAAATCATGATATAAGGCTTGGTATTGTGCAGAAATTCAAGCAGGACAAATTTTGTGTATTTTATATTCCCTTCTCCTTTTTCGATCTCCCCTGCAGGGCTGTAATACGCACCCTCCCGTCCTTGCAGTATGCCAGCAGTTTGTCTTCTTCCTTTGGGTGGAAGATGATCGTCTCTGGTGTGAAGGCGACTGCCTGTCGTTGGAAGGAAGAGCCTTCGTCTGTGCTGATGAATAGCATCTGATCTCGTTCATTTATGGACGAGCCAACCATGACAACCTGAAAGACAGCAGATTTTTTTCCTTTTTAATAAAAACAGATACTACTTCCCCTGCTTAAATGGACAAGCGATGAACACAAATGCATTTTGTGACTACACATGAACATTTACTGCGGGCCATTTTAAAGTTCAAAAACTTTTTTTTTTTTTACATCTTAAGAGGCGGTCGACCTTGGATTGATTATCTATTTAGAGTTTTAGAGCTCATAAAGTGAAAGCATTAAACACAGGGCAGACAAGGACCTCCCAAAGCACCAATCATCGTTATGACCCATTTAAAGTGACCAATAGCAGAGATCGATAGAAATTAATGATCCAGAACCATTTATACGTCGTATAAAAGCAGTGGAAAGCTGTCCAGTAAGGGTTTGTTGCTGTAAATTATGATCCTAGTGATGTTTATAACTTTTTGTGGTCAAGTATCAGAATATACTCAGTCATATATTTAAATATTTTTTATTTAAATGATACAGAATTCCTAGAGGAGGTATGGAAATATGAAGTATGTTTTTAATCATTGGACATGATCCATGTACTTTGGCTGAACTGGTAGTTTTCTAGTTAAATTAAAACCTTCATATGCTTCCGCATGAAAAGTCTCATTCACCAAGCAACACTCAGACCTTTGCTACACTAATTAGTTCAGACTGCAACACAAATATCTTTTAGAAATAATTAGAAATATAATTATGTCATAAAGCAAAAATATTTTAGTCAAGCAATGACTCCAAAAACATTGTTGGAAAATGGATAGAAACCATTTTTGTATTTGTTCACCAGCAACTTATTACTTTATGAGACATATTTAGTAAGATTCAAAACAAGAGGCATATAATTTCTTGTATGAACAAATGACTGCAGGTGTAATTAGCTGGTGTGAGTTATCTCCTAAAAGTGAGCGCATTTGATAATGGGTGCAAAAGTATAACGTGTCAAGATTTGGTTTTAAGGTTTTTGTTTGGACCCAAAAGCAGAAGCTGAGAGGCAGGGGTGAGATCTTGGAAGGTTTAATGAAAAATCAGGCAGCAAAAACAGGAATCCAAAAATCCAACTTAAAAATGTAAATCAAAACAGAAATCCAAAAAAAAACAACATAAGAATTGAACACTAACCATCAGGGGAAAAAGTCATGAGGAGCCAGGGTAGGATGAAATAAGACAAGGAACCAGCAAAGAGGGACTGCAGAGGGAGTGTATTTATGGCTGACTGAACAAAGGTAGGGCTAATGAGCTGATAAGGAGCAGGTGTGACTAGAGCTGATGAGGAAGCCAAGGGAAAAGAACACAAGGGGGCAGCAGAGGACAGACAGAAAAACCTAAGCAACTTAAATGAATCCAGACACATCAATAAAGCTAGAAAACAAGGAAAAACCTGGCTAAACTTGAAACTGAAAACTTAAAGAAAAACAACAGAACCCAGATCGTTACATAACGTGAAAAAATGATGCAGGCAGATATAAGATAAAAGAACATTCTCTGATGAAACAAACAATTTGAAAAGAAATCAACGATCATTTCAATTGTCACAACCAGACATAGTCATTGTCTATGTTTCAGAAAGCATTGTCACCATGAAACATGGTTAACATCATCTTCATCAACACCTAAGATTTTTTTAGATACTCAAGAATAAATACTCAAGAAGTACTCACAAAAACTTTGGCCTGATAGATATGTCATAGCGTGTCCTTTTAACTGGTTCTATATTAGACTTTAGTTAATTCATTAGCCTTAATATAGATTATTTGATGTTTTAGTGTCAGCTAGTCTAAATATCTTGACACCCACAAAATATTAACTTTATTCTGTCGGTCATTGCAGCTATTTGCCCACTAACCACAATCCCAGTGTTCTGTCAGATGAGCATACCCAGTCAGACCAACATACCCATAGTCAATACCCATTTATCCTTTTAGTTTTGTAAATAAAATACACTTTGAACTACCTGAACGGCCATGTTTTCCTTTAGTCATGTACAAAAAACCAATTTAATAACTTACTTTTTGAAGAGTATAGCGATCTGACATTAAATTGTTTTGTTTTTTTTGTACACGACTAAAGGGACACACACAAATCTGACTTCTTGTGCAAGCATATTGACTATAGTTATGCTGGTCTGACAGAGTATGATGATCTGACAAAACACCAGTTATCAGGTTTACACATGACTTTAGACACATTTTCCTTTAGTTGAACAGGTCTTATATTGTCATCCATCTGTCTGTAATTGGCTGAAGTTGACAGTTTGAAAGAATCAAAAAGTTATTTGGCACAGACTGCAATTTTTTCCCCATTGTTTTGGGTGATATATTTAGGAGATTTAATCATACAGTAAGTTAATGTTTGAGTTTTTTCAATAGAACTAAATTACTTTAATTGTTGTGGTTTTTGAGGCTAATGTAAGGGAAGTGTGAAGGACCAAATACATGGAAGCATTGTTAGAAAGAAATAGGTAGAATGGGTTTTCAAGAATGTTTTATTGTTATCTTTTCTAATAAAATTCACTTATGGATAGAAAAGCACACAACTGAACTCAGCCTTGCACTGTGATGTTTGAACCGAACAGAACACTTTACCAAACATGAATTGGCAGTTTACCCTCCATTTCCATCCATTCTTTAAGCATACTGACTCATCAAAAGTAATGTGGTTTGTGTTTTTTATTTAATCATTTCAAATAGTTTTTTCCCTTCTTCTCTATGCTTCCTTAAAGTAAAAAAGGTTCAAATAAGCTTTGCGCTTGCAACACACTTATCTGTGAAGCTGAAGTAGTGCTATTTCTATATTATGTTAGAGAAATTAAATAAATTTATACGCCTAGAGACTCACATGCACTAAGTAAGCGTGCACAAAATCTTCTTGGTATTCTCATCATGACTGCAATTAGGCAGCGTGTGAAGAACGCCTCACATCTTTCTGGTTGGAATGCTTAAGTGCTCTGTGTCAGCCTGTGGAAGTGTGTGTGTGTGTGGGGCTCTTAGGAGCAGCGCAGTTAAATAATGACAGTTACTGCTTTGTTTGTTACCACAACATTTTATATAAAAGTAATCTCTAAACTTCTTCAGGTTTTTTTATGCATTAATTTTGTCCTTGTAAGAAGGTAGTAGAAAATCTTTGGCAGGCCCTAAAAACTTAGGGTCATAATATGGAGCCCTTCTAACTTTAAGGACTTCATCATATTATATAACCCTGTGGTGTTTTGACCCAATGTTGAAGGTTAAAATGGTTTCCACGGGATGTGACAGTGGTGCATAAGCACTGCGTTTAACAGTTTAGTTGATGGGTTTAGGACCAAAATGCAGAGACCAGGAGGATAAGGTGAATCTTGTAGATTTAATGAGTAACTGAGGAAAAATCCAAAATACAAAGAACCAATAAAACCTGTCAACATCAGGGAAACGTGGGGAGTCAGAGATGAGGAAGCAACTAACAACAACAAGGAACCAGCACTGAAGAACCGCACAGGGAGAGTATATATGGGTGACAGAACAAAGAATGGGGTAATTAGATGATATAGAGCAGGTGTGGATGGAAGTGACTAGAAGGTAACAAAGGGAAAGGAGACAGGCACAAGGGGGCAACAGAGAGTAACTAAAAGCTGGCTTAAATATAACACAAAATGCAAAATAAACCAAAGATAAACAAAACTGAATTATTTAGACCGACGGTTTTCAAAGTGTGAGGCGCGCCTCCCCTGGGGGGCACCAGAGCACCTTAGGGGAGGCGCGGTGAGAGGGAAAAAATAAATATGGATTTAGGACCAAGTTGGAACTGTGGGGTGCGCATGTGGAGCGGGGATCAGTAGAAATGTTTCCCATCTTAGAGGATGTTTTGGCCAGAGCGGGGCTGAAGGTGGAGTTTTTACAGCAGGCTTTCTGTGTGCATTTGGAGGGGATGCGCGAGCAGTTTGGAGAGTATTTTGGAGAGGAGACAATGGCAAACCAGTGGGTGAGAAACCCATTTTCCTTCCCCGTGACACTCAAAGATGGACTTTCAGCAGGAGAGGAAGAGGCTCTGGCTGAGCTGAGCTGTGACATGGACTTGAAACAGAGGATGAGTGACGTGTCACTTACGCACTTTTGGCTGTCAGTAGGGACTGATTTCCACAGCTCTTAATAAAGACCTGATGAAAATGTTTTTGTTAAGATGTGAAAACACTGTTGGTATCTCAAACATTAAACTCAGAATCTCAGATGTAACGTTTGTTTGAGAAAACAGTTGAAAAGTGAGTTTGGGGTTGTTCTTATAATTAGAAAAATGAAAAAAGGGCGTATTTGCCATACAAAGGCCCAAAATAATTAAAATGGGAGGAAATATTTT